AAACCGAGGCCACCTCCGGCTTCTCAAACAGGGGAACGATCACCCGACATTTTCCCTCTCCCTGGAGGTGTTGGGAGTGCCCCACCCGTGCTGAAACCCCTTCCCAGTTTATCCAGGACACACGGATTTGGTGGTACCTGCACCAGGAAGCTGCAGGGAAACCAGCCTGCCCTCCCTGCCAGGTGAGGCTCCCAAGGACTGTCACTGCTCACCCAAACCCGTTCCTGTGCCACCCTAAACAGGCAAAGGAAGCCAATCCTCTCCCTGGGAGGTGCCAAGGACGGGACCAAGGCAGGAAAACCCTGTCCAGGGGAAGCCCCAGGCCCAGCCACCCCCTGTGACACTTACTGGTTTTCACCTTGAGGGTGTAGGGGTTCTTCTGCTGGATGGTGTGGGTGAAGTGGAAGCGGGCGTTGCAGCTGTAGTCGGTCAGGGCGTCCTGCAGGATCACGTTGGAGAAGTAAAGGTCCCCGTTCTGCCCCTGGGACACTCGTTTGTCCTGCTGGATGGGCTCCATGGCTGCGGGCACAGCGGGCACTCAGACGGGGCACAGCCCGGCCCCAGGGCAGGGGGGGCTCTGAACCAGGGGAAGGACCCTAAACTAGCAGGAAATGCCCTAAACTAGCAGAAACTGCCCTAAACTAGCAGAAACTGCCCTAAACTAGCAGTAAAGACCCTAAACTAGTAGAAACAACCCTAAACTAGTAGAAACTACCCTAAACTAGCAGAAACTACCCTAAACTAGCAGAAACTGCCCTAAACTAGCAGAAACTGCCCTAAACTAGCAGAAACTGCCCTAAACTAGCAGAAACTACCCTAAACTATCAGAAACTACCCTAAAATAGCAGTAAAGACTAGCAGTAAAGACCCTAAACTAGCAGAAACTGCCCTAAACTAGAAGAAAATACCTAAGCTAGCAATTATAACCCTAAACTTGCAGAAACAAACCTAAACTAGCAATAATGCTCCTAAACTAGCAGTAACAGCCCTAATCAGCAGAAACGACCCTAAACTAGCAATAATGACCTTAAACTAGCAGAAACTACCTTGAACGGTCAGAAACTGCCCTAAACTAGTAGGAATGACCCTAAAGAGGGTTGTTTGAGAGGCTGCAGGGGGTGGAGGGGCTGCCCAGGGGGTGCAGGGTGGGAAGGGGGTTCCCCACTCACAGCTGCTCATCCAGAAGATGACGGGTGGGGGGAGCCCGGGGGGTGGGTTGCACTGCAGGCTCAGAGGGGCCCCTTCATCCACCTCGATCACATCCACCTTCTCCTTGGGCCACAGGGGAGACTCTGCCACGGGAAACAAGGGCACGTGAGGCAGGGAGGGCAGGACGTCCCCAGAGCTCTTCCCGCTGGGCCTGGCCCGCTTTCGGTGGGGTGGCCTCGATGCAAAAACTCCATTTCTGCATGTGCAGGGCTCCCTGAAATCCATGCCCTTGAATCCATGCCCTTCAATCCATGCCCTTGAATCCATCCCCTTGAATCCTCACCCTTGAATCCTCACCCTTGAATCCATGCCCTTGAATCCTCACCCTTGAATCCTCACCCTTGAATCCATCCCTTGAATCCATCCCCTTGAATCCATCCCCTTGAATCCTCACCCTTGAATCCTCATCCTTGAATCCTCACCCTTGAATCCTCACCCTTGAATCTTCACCCTTGAATCCATCCCCTTGAATCCATGCCCTTGAATCCATGCCCTTGAATCCATCCCCTTGAATCCATCCCCTTGAATCCATGCCCTTGAATCCATACCAAGTTGGTTACAGCCTTAACCCCCCCACCTTCATCCTGGTCTTGGATACACCTGGACACAGGTAAGAGCTGGAGAAGGCTGGGAGGGACCCACAAGGATCATCCAGTCCAACCCTCAGCCCTGAACAGGCTCAACCCCAAGAGTCACCCCCTGTGCCCCAGAGGATCAGCCAAACCCTCCTGCAGCTCTGGCAGCCTTGGGGCTGTGCCCACTGCCCTGGGGAGCCTGTTCAGTGCCAACCACCCTCTGGGGGAAGAACCTTTCCCTGAGATCCACCCTGAGCCTGCCCTGACACAGCTCCAGCCCTTCCCTGGGTGCTGTCCCTGCTCCCTTCCTGCTGAAGCTGGAACTGCCATGAGGTCTCCCCTCAGTCTCTTCCATCTGGACACACCAAGTGCCCTCAGCTGCTCCTCAAGGCCCTTCCCCATCTTTGTTGCCCTCCTTTGGACTCTCACTGATGGCTTCCCCTCTTCCCTGACCAAAGCTATCCCAGTATTCCAGGTGAGGCCAGGCCAGCTCTCCGTGCCCGCTCCCACCACACAGACCTCTTTGCCCTCCTCAGGGGCCGCTCTCTGGTTACTCACTGGACACCTGGAGGTGGATCTTGCTGGAGAGGGCAGTGCCATAGTCATTCCTGGCAAAGCACTGGTACTCCCCCTCGTAGTCCTCGGGCCTGCCCCCGCTGTGGAAGTCGATGACCAGGGTGCCCGAGCGGCGCCGCATCGACACCTTGGGGTCCTTGGCCACGTTGAAGAACTTGCCATTGCGAGTCCAGGAGAAGCTGGAGGCACACGGGGGGGTTGCACACAGGGTTTGCACGCTGCTTTTGCACCAGGGGAGGGCTGGATGGGAGAGGGGTTGCTCCAGGGGCAGGCCCCAGGGGCAGGGGGGGGCACTCACGTGGGCACGGGGTTCCCTTTGGCCTCGCACTCGATGAAGATGTTGTCCCTGGGGTCCACGATGTAGTCCTTCACCGACTGCTTGGTGATGGTGGGGGGCTGGGGCACTGTGGGGCAGAGGAACACCCTGAGGAGGGCTGTGCCCATCCCCTCTGCCACCCCACAGCCTCTCCCCCACGCTGCACCCACCCTGAGGAAACCCCCACGAGCATGGGTGGGTGGGGTAGGGTGGGCTGCTCGTCCCCTTTCAACCATGCCACTGCTCAGGATCCCTTTAGGTACCAAACCCTGCCCTGGTTCTCACTTGGTGGCTTGGGTTGAACAAATTCCATGGTTACATTTTCCTGCTCCCACTAAAGCCATCCTGCTCCTCAGAGAGGGGCTGCAGCTGGGCCAGGGACCCCCAGACATTTACAGGGTCTCTGTGCAAGAAAGAGGCCCTAAAGCCCCCCCAGGTTGGCCCCAGAGGAGCTCAAAAGTGGTGGTTAAAGGGGCAGGAGTGTGGAAGGGGACACACCAGCCCAGAGCTGCTGTAGGACCTGGCTCTGCCCCTGGAATTGCAGATCCCAGCCCCATGGCTGTCCTGGGATGAGGATCTGAGGCTGTTTGCTCATCCCCAAGAGCCAGTGATGCTCCAGATATGTCAGGAGGTGGGGCTGAGCTGGGCACGCTGTGCTGGTGCCAGGCAGAGGAGCCCACCCTCCCCTCAGGGCTGGCAAAAGCCATAACAAAGCCCTGCAGAAACAACATTCCTGTGGCAAGGGCAGCCTGGCTCCTGCTCCAGGGGCAGCACAGAGCCCAGGAACAAGTGGCTGGTCCTGTCCTGGCCACGGGCAATGCCCCCCCCCACACACACACCCCCAGTGTGTGCCCCCACCAGCCCCTGCCCTGTGCAGACCCCTCGTGCCCATGGTGGTCACGCAGGGGACACGGACACGGAGGGAACACTTACATTCACTCTGAATACTTGCTGTTATCCCCCAAGTGCCAGCAGAGAGGAGAGAAGACAAGAGGTTAGTTGAGGAGCTGCCCTGTGCTCCTCATGCCCACGGACACAGACACAGAGGGTTGTCCCAGGCCTTGCCAACGCTCCACACAAACCATCCCACGGCTCAGGCCTGTTCTGATCTTCCCACTTACTGTCCATGGAGCAGTAACACAGGTAATTATCCCCCTCTGAACATCACAGCTTTCCCACCCTTTTCTCTTCAGTCATTTCCCAATTTCAGCCCAAAGCCGCTGCCTCCAATTTTTCCTTCCGACTCTGCTGCCCAGTCAGGGATCAGCTGGGGCACCACAGCTCCACCAGCACAGCCAGGGCTCCATAGGGCACGAATTTCTCCTGTCTAAGGTGGTCCCAGCCTGAATTCAGACCCCCAGGAGCCGTGCTTTGCCTCCCAACACTCCGCTCTCCAGAGGATTCCTGTGCCTTGTGCTGTCAGAAGAGATTCCCTGCAGCCAGGGAAGCCTGATGGGTATTTACAGCCACTCCAGGAGGAGGCTGGGACACAAAGAAATTAGGAAAATGGTTTCCAGAGCAGTGGCTGAGCAGCTCCCAGTGAGAGCCACTGGCCCTGGAGCATCCACACCACTCATGCAGCTCCCACGTGCTGGCCTGGAGTTGCTCATTGAGCAGGAAAATCAGCCCATGTCCCCCCTTCCTCCTCTTTCCATACCCTCTTCCTCCTCTTTCCATACCCTCTTCCTCCTCTTTTCATACCTTCTTCCTTCTCTTTCCTACCTCCTTCCTCCTCTTTCCATACCCCCCTCCCTTCCTGCCCCATGTCCCTCTTCCTCCTCGCTCCACGTCCCCCAGCCCTTGTGCTTCTGAATAAAACAGAATTCCCATCTCATAATTAACCAGAAAGTCCTGGAAGAGAGAGAGAGAGAGAGAAAAAAAAAAGCTCCATTTCCCTGCAGGACCTGCCCAGGTTTCCACAGCCCTGGAGGTGTCAGCTGGTGGCAGCATCAGCCAGGTAAGACCAGCAACGAGCTCGTGTCCTCCACTAGAGAGCATCCCAAAGCCTTCCCGTGCTCTGGAACACCTGAAGGCACCGAATCACAGGATGGCTTGGCTTGGAAGGGACCTCAGAGGTCATCCACTGCCACCCCCTGCCATGGGCAGGGACATTTTCCACTAGCCCAGGTTGCTCCAAGCCCTGTCCAGCCTGGCCTTGGTGCTCCTGGGACGCTCCACTGAACAGGCTGGACACTGCTCAGCTTGGCTCAGGTGTTCTGATCCACGGTAAGATGTGTTTTCGAGTCCTCTGCTCAGTTTTTGAGGCAGATTGGCTAAACCAGAGAGGACTTGGGTGACTTTCTGGAGGGCAAGGGGTTTAAAAAGGCAAAACCAGCCACAAACAAAGGAACAAGAGCAAAAGAACCCTGGCTGTGGAGCAGGAAATCATCCCCCTCTCTGTGCTGAGCAGGGGGAAAAGCACAACTTACGATCCAGAGGGACCTCGATGGCGCTGATGAGGTGCTGAAGGCAGAGGGCGAAGGCAATCCCTGCAGGGCTGAGGTGGGGCCTGGGCATGACCATCTTGGAGGGCTGGGCAGAGCCTGGACAGCCCCTCGGCGTGTCCCCGGGGCAGCAGCAGCACGTGCAGAGGGATCCTCAGCTGCAAAGCAAACCCAGGCCACTGTCACAGCTCCAGAACTGGGGGTTTCCAGCCCAGAAAGTGTTTGTGTGCAGGGACAGGGGTGTGGGCAGTGCCAGGGGTGGGCTCCAGGCTCTGGTGGCCCGGGTGTGAGCCCGTGGGCACAGCTCTCCCACCCCTGGGTTGTTCTGCTGGCAGAAAATCAGCTTTTTGGGGGGTTATTTGCACTCAGACCCTGGAGGGACCCCTTGGATCACAGAATCATGGGATATGCCAAGCTGGGATGGCAGGAGAAGGGCCTGGCTCTCCATCCCTGGCACTGATGGGAAGTCACTCAGAGCTGCTGAATACAGAAGCAATCCTCAAAGAATAAAATAAAAAGGATGATTTGCTGATTAAAAAAAGCAATACTAATTGTGTTTTATGGTCAAGAAATGCCTAGAAATATCCAGTCCCTCAGCCAGGGCACTGGGATGAGCCTGGGGACAGCCTGGCACAGCTCTAGGAGAGGGGGCACAGTGGGACCTCTCCTACCTGGCCTCTAAACAAGCCCATTTCCCCCCAGCTCCAGCTATTTCCCTGCCCAGACACTCCCTGGTGCCAGATGTGCCTCCCACCCACAGCCCCAGAGATGCTCCTGCCAGGATCTCGTTTGCCACACACACCCCCCCCTTCCATTTTGCTCCTGACAAACCCCCTCCCCAGACTCCCTGCAGCCAGAGAGGAGGTGAATTCCTCCCGTGGGGGAACAATTCCCCCCACCTCAGGAGGTCACAGGGGCTGCACCACACGAGTCACTCGCTGCTCACTGTCCAGAACAGAGCTGTAAAAAGGGCAGCAGCTCCCTCAGCTGAGAGCAAAGAAAGGACACCAGGGGCAGGAGAGAGTGGAAAATCCCCAGCCCTGCTCCTGCCTGGCCCTGGCAGGGGCTCTGGCCGAGGATGTGGCGGGGCAGGAGCAGCACAGGGGCTGTTTGGTGAGCAAGGGGAGCCTCCTGAAACATAAACCCCCGGAGTCAGCTCCGGGTGTGCTGCCCCTTCAGCTGTTCCCCAGCTCGGGAAGGGAGGGAGGGAGGAGGGAGTTGGAACGACAGACAGAACCCGGGAGCAGCCAGCGAGGAGCAGATGTCACAGGAAACAACCAGCCCTGACACGTGGCCTGGGAGGCTCTGCTGAACCCCACGCAGGCTCCCAGCAGCTCCCCGTTACCCTCCTGGGGAGCACGAGGTGCTGGGGGGTCCCCACCACCACCCCCCGGGCTCCCAGTCCTCACTCCAAAGGATCTTGCTGTCCCAGTGCATCCCAGTTGCCCCAGCTGACAGACTGGAGGCTGGGAAGGGGCTCGGAGGGGAGAGTTGCTCTGATCTATTTTGCTCGTTCTGAGGATTTTCCAATCCAGCTGTTGCCATAAAAATAGTTGAGGGACAGAATAATTATAGGTCCAGGCCAGTAATTAAAGTCATGTCCAGCACTTGTGCAGCCCTGTGATCAGGTCATGCTGAACAAAGCTTTTCAAATTACTCCTTTAGCTCCCTGTCCAAGGGAGGAGATCATTTTGATCTGCAGCCTTCCTTTTTTTTTTTTTTTTTTTAAAGCAGTTCATTTCTCCAGTTGCAGCTTAAGATGAGTAATGGACCCGCTGGTTTTGTGTCTCCCTGCCTTTGGGAGGGCAAATGCCAGGCTCCTCCAGCTCCTCCAGCTCCTCCAGGCTCCTCCAGCTCCTCCAGGCTCCTCCAGCTCCTCCAGGGCCCCTTTGTCTCGGGCAGATGTGGGTGCAGGAACAATCCCCGGCCGTGCCTGCGTGTGTAGGTGGCTCCTGGGGACAGGCAGTGCCAGAGAACACAGCCCACATTGTCAGGGCTCGGGGACAGGGACATCTCCCAGCACAGAGCCTGGAGCTGCTGTGGGAACACGAAATTCCGAGCTGGGGGTGCTGAAGCTGCCTGATGTCCATCTGCTGCTGAGGCTGCTTCGACCCAGGCTGGCCACGGGGGCAGATGAGACCCCTTTGCCCAGACTCAGCGTTTCTTAACCACTGCTCCTGGCCCTCAGAAGAGATCTGAGTCCTGTCCAAAGCGCAGAACAACCTCTCTCACCTCATTCCTACGGCCCAACAGGGTGGCCAGAGCTGGGGGAGAACCATCAGGGCTCTGGGAACTTCTTCCTGCAGAGTCCTGTGGGGCAGAGCTGTTCCATGATGAGGGTATAAATTCTATTCCAGCTAGTTCAGCAGTTTAAAATGAAGATGGAAAGCTGTGTAACAGCCTGAAAACCCTCCCAGCCAGAGAGGAAGAACTCTGGAGCTTCATTTCTCCCTGAACATGGCAATTTAACACGCATTTTCCTCACTCCTTGCCTTGAGATGGGGGAAATTTCTCCCCTCCACAGATGGTGGAGCAGCACAAGTGAATCCTCACATCCCAGCCCCGGAGCTTCCCTGCTTCCCCCCTCCATCTGCTCGGCACCAGCAAGTTCCTGGGGTTTGGGTGGCTCAGCCAGGAGTGGTGAGGGGGGTGGTTTGTCCCTGACCAGCAGGATGTGGCTGGATGAGGCTCCTCAGCAGCAGGACCTGAACCACATCCCACAAAACCCACCCCATCCCCTCCGGCTCCAGAGTCGGAATCAAAGGATGTGTGGAAACAGCTTTCAGCAAGAACCCACTGCAGGCCCAGGCAGCACAAGCCAGCACGTGGATCACCCCTCAGGGCTGATTTGGCCAAAAATTTGGCTGGTAATTCCCAAAACTGGTAAATCCCTGCAAACAGCAACACGTGGGATGTTCTGCCCCGCTGGGGTTCACAGGGCAGAGCCCGAGGGCTTCCCCGGGGGCACAAACGGCTCTGGGGAAGGGCTGAAATTAATTCCCTTCCCAACAGTTGAATGAAATGAGACCTTGTGGAATAACAATGGAAACAAACCCCTTCCCTACGGCCCCACTGCTGGAAAACAACCCCAGCCCTCCGAGGCAGCCAGGAGGGCTGAGAGCAGCCACAGGAACAGTAAGCAAAGGCAATCTCTGGTTGAAGTTAAATAAAATTAAAGAGGTCCACCATGAGGGATTGTTTTTAATCAGCCCATTAGGTCCAGCAGGATGCTTTCAGCAGCAATTAGACATTTATCCTTATTTACGGCTGTGAGACGAACAGTAAAACTTGAGGAGCTGCTGTTCCCAGGAACATTCCTGCAGCACCATTTATTGCGTGTCAGCTGCTTAATTGATGCTGATTGAATAGCACAGAGCAACATTTCCACAAAGAGAAAACGCTCTTGGTTTCAGATAATGAAAAACATTGATTTCAAAGGCACATGTGGATGTGAATCCCTCTGCTCCGGAGCCAGGCTGGGAGAGATGGGAGGAGAAGTCAGAAGGGAAGGCTCCAGGGACACACCTTGGAGCCCCTTCCAGGGCCTAAAGGGGCTCCAGGAAATCTGGGGAGGGACTTTGGAATTACGGTGCAGAAATTCAGGGAAAGAAGGAAGGAAACGATCGCCAAGGCAGGGGATGATCCCTTGGCATTCCCACATCACCAGGGCAGGGGATGATCCCTTGGCATTCCCATCCCGGGGGATGGACGTGCCCTTTCCCCAGGCAGGGTGTGGGGGGGCAGTGCTCCCATCCCCTCTGCCCCGAGCAGAGAGAGGAGCTTTGTGCCTGTTCCCGGGTCCAGCTTTCACAATTGTTCTGAGGAACAACTGTCACAGCAAACACCAGCAAAGCCATTTGCATCTCGTCTTCTCCTCCTTAAAACAAAAAAAAATCACCGTTTGCATCCACTCAGCAGCTTCAGAGCTGAGGGAAGTGGCCTGAGCATCCTCTGCTCCCAGGGAAGAGGGAAAGTCAGGCTTGTCATGGGAAATGGGTCCTGAGCTGAGCTATGAGGGTTCAGTGTCATCTCTATACCTACTGGAACCCCAAAGCGACACATCCTTTTTATCTGTCCTCTGAAGAAAAGGACATTTCCCCCAACACAACCTGCAGCAGCAGAGCTTGACTTGCAGAGGCACCACCCCTGCCAACGCTCCGGAAAAACCCCAGGCAGACCCTTTTGTTGGGGATAATTCACTGCCCATCTACTCCTGCCATTGCGCTTTCAGCACATCTTTAAAGGAGTGTTTTTAAGGGACACAGCTTTAAGGAGCACATCTTTAAAGGAGTGTTTTTAAGGGGCACAGCTTTAAGGAGCACATCTTTAAAGGAGTGTGTTTTAAAGGAACACATCTTTAAGGAGCACATCTTTAAGGAATGTGTTTTTAAGGAACACTCAGAGGCCGTTTCTCACCTCTGCTTTCTTGCCTCCCTCCTCCACGGGATTTTTGCCTTGTACTGCATTTTCCTGGGTCTCTCCTGCCTGGCACGTGGGTGAGGTTCAACCCCAAGCCCCGCAGGCCGCAGAGCATTTTAAAAGCACGGAGAAAGCTCCGTGACATCCCCGGGAACGAGGACGGCTCCCTAAAATCCCTCTCCAGGCAGCGCCGCGGCAGAATCCCTGTGGATCCTCACGGGGCAACGCGAGGGAAGCGGGAATGAATCCCTCAATCCCTGAACTTTCGAGCTGGTGCTGGCACTAAGGAGATTTGTGCTTGAGCTCCTCTCAGTAGCTCAGCTGACCTTCCCGAGTCGGGAGCAGCTGCACCCAGGCTCCTCTTCCAGAAATACTCCCAAACAGGAGGAATGGGATAATTGCTCCTGGAGCTGAGGCTGCGTTTTGCAGGGCTTGAGCTCAGATAGTTGTTATGGTTTCGGGAGTTAAATCACCCCCTCGTGGAGCAGCTCATCACCACTGAGAGCACCAGGAGCTCCGGGGACGGGCTCGTCATCTGTCACGGTCGTGTCTCGGCACCACATAAATGTGGGTCCGTTTATCATCCTGTCCTTCTGCTAATGCAAGGAAATAGTGTCGTTCTATTAGCAGAGGGACTGGAGTCTGCCGAGGTTAAGTGTTACCCCAAGGTCAGGCAAAAGATATGGCAGGAGTGGGAAATGAGCTGAGATCACCGGAGTAACTCGGCTTAATCAGAAAA